TATATATATATATGTATATATATATATAATCTTAAACTGAACAATAAATCTTTTATAATAAAAAATTCACCACACTCCCCATTTTTTTAAAATCTGAAAAATTCACCTAAATCACTGTTGCTTCTTATAAAATCCGAAAATCATAAATTTCCCCTGGGAGAAATACTATTACATTAGAAATTTGCACTTTGAATGAAACGCAAGCTACATTAAACTTTTGTTATGCAAAAAAAAAAAAAAATAAATAAATAAGTTCACTTGGAAAATGTCGAATTTTGTTAGAATTTGTTAAACGCTTCTTTTGAAATATCAGCAAGAAAAGTTAAATATTTAAATCAATTGGAATATTGGATCAAAGTAAAAAATTTTTTATAAAAGTATTAATTTTAATGTTTCAAAAACAAAGCATTTCTTTATCCGTAAATAAATTTAAACAATTGAAAAATCCATTATTGATATCCCTAGACTTGATCTGTCTCAAGTAAAATTGAATATCAAGACAATACTTTATTTTTTTGACAAAATATGATACCTAATAAATATTGTTTTAAAGCAGGTTAAAATACACTGTTTGAATACTTCTTAATTTTGTAAATTTATTTCAATGTATTACTGAGCAATGCGTTATAAGTTAGAATGTGCACAGTATAAAATAAATAAATAAATAAAACAGAACAACAGCCTCCTTTTTTCCTTTTTTTTTTCTTTTACCTCCCGTATTTTGATTAGATATGATTAACAAAGAAAATACGTTTTGTCGTTTGATTTTGTAATTAAAAATATAGTTTACAAGGGAACTCTAATCCAGAAATATAAGTCATCTTATCATTGATTTTATCAGTGCCGTCAAACTATTTTATGAGTGATCTTGAGAATTAACTTTACTTACCTGCATTATACAAACATGCAAAAATAATTCGCTTAAAATTAAAAAGAAATTTTTAAAAAATTCTATGACATAGTTTGTTGATTTTAATTATGTGATTTAGGTTTCAGTCTAAAAATGTATTTTACGACAAAACAAAAATAATATGCAGGATTAATTTCGTAATTTAGAACATTTGCAAGGGAACACTTTGCCTATGACTCTTTATTGCATTCAAGGATCTGAAATATCAGTTATCTTATTAGAGATTTTATCTGTGTCTTTCATCAGTGAAATATAATCAGTGCAAATTACATCGTCTGTAATATTACAAATTTACTTTATTTATTTGCATTATGCAAACTATGCGAAATAATTTGATTAAAATTGAAATCAAATAAAACTATTTGAAACATAATTTGTTGATTTTAATTACGTAATTTAAATTTCAGCTTAACTATTCATTTTACGACAAACCGAAAATAATATTCAGAAAAGCAAAAACTAATTAAACAATCAGTGATAAAGTGTTTACGAAAAATGATCTATACGAAATCAAGTTAGTTCAAGCTGCTCTTAATGGAGAAATCTAGACAAAAACTTTGTAATCATAGATACATAAAAAAGCAATTAAACGAACAGTGACAGGAACGTCCATTTTAGTTAAGTGCAAATGAAAAAAAACTGCAAATGAAATAAGCAACTATTTTTTAAAAAAATATCACTGAAAATTTTTAAGATGTATTTTTATTAAATAATTTTCCTCATAAAAATATAATTTTCACCATGAAAATATACTTTTCCATAAATTTGTCGCCTGATTAAAATTCCTTCTCTCATATATTAATTATATAAAAAACACATTGTTTTATTTAATTTATTTTAACCTATTGCAATAAATGTGTGGAAATTTAATACAATCTCAAAGTGAATAAGGAGTAAAAAACATTTTGCAACAAAAAATCATTTATGTTCAACTTTTTGAAGTATTTCGTTTTCAAAACTGTCGACAGTAAAAAGATCAATTCAGTTTTCTCTTAGTTGAGTTTTGGATAAACTTCCCCAGAATGAAATAGTAAGGTGTTCTTCTAGGCGATGACAGCGCCCCCACTTCTGAAACAACGTGATTCCTTGACACAAATCAACGGAACGGCCATACCGATTTATCCGCCTTTCGTTTCAAGTTGCGGTTGTGGTAACAGTGACTTCTTAAAGACGTGTAATAGCTAAAAACACGAACTGTTGCTTTCAAAAAATTAAATGCAATAATGTGAAGAATGTAACAAAAAAGGTGAGACTATAAAATATTACTATAGTTTTTCTTAAAATAAAAAAAACGCAATCTATTTTTAGTTGTCTTTTTTGTGGATTTTTAAAGGAGTAAGTAAATTTTTGAATTTTTATCATTCAATTTTATTTTACTTTTCTATGCATTAAAAAGCATTTATTTTAACGAAATGTTTAATATTTCTTAACAATATACTAACAATTTTAATCTTATATCTACACTGGAAACTAATCCAATTTATTAATTTTAATAGACATTATAAATAGAAAAAATCAATTTTGCAAAAATAAGTCACAATATATCACATTTTTTAAGAAATCAGTCACAATATTCATCAGAAACTGGGAAACGCCCTGAGCCCTAAAAGTAAATGAAGCAATATTGAGGAATTAATCTTAAACTTTAACGTGAAATAACGTTAAATTCCTTATATCATAAATAATGTTAAAACCAAAATTGTAGAATGAAAAAATTAAATTAACAATAAATAATCTCGTACCTATTTGCAGATTTCGTAATTGAGTTTAATTTTAGTTCCGTTTATAATTATGTATTTAATGAAAACTATATTTAGGCTATATAAATATATACTTTATATTTAGGATAAAAAAAAACTTGTTTTAGTCAATATGTTTTTAATTTTTTTACACATACAATAAGATATGAATATTTTCAGACTATAACTATTTCGGAAAGTAATTAATTTTGTTTTCATTTTTAATAAAAAAGAATTTATTTATTGTAATTTCAAGATGGCACATATTAAGCATGAAATCACTTTAATTCGCTAATGAAACCTACAAACAAAATTTTTGTTTAAATTTATATATTACTTTTTAGAACAGTAAATCTTTTTATATTGCATTAAAATTGATAATTATAAATAATTTATAAAACAATTGGTTTAAATGCTGAGATGTATTCCCTTTTCTTTTTGTATTAATTGATTGCTAGCCACCTTTGGCGACCAACTTGGTCACCTTTTAAAATTAACTCCCACAACATATTAACTTTACCATACTGAATAAATCGACAACTGTATTTAAAATTTTTAATTCTTCAAACCTTTTTCCAATCTTAACACATTAATTAGTTTTAAACAATTCTTTCCAATTTTAAACAATTCTTTCTAACTCTTTCAATTAACGAAATTCTATCTGTTCCCCTCGCGGAAGACATTTGATTTTAATTTTAACTATTTTCAAGAGATGACAGTGATATTGTCTAAATGCATTGAATGTTAGTATGTATTGAATGTTCTTTATGTATTGAATGTTAGTAATAATTGTCTGTCTTATAGTCAATAAATCACCCAAACTTTCGTAAATATCAGTATGGGGCTTTTTAACGTAGTAGGCTCGCAATAATCCATTTACGTGCTAGGCTACTTATTCACGCACCTTCGAGCCATAACTTGTGTATCATATACACTGTTAGAAATTTGTCAGGAAAAGTGGTTGAATAACAATTTATTAAATAGTTATTTTACCATATTTAATCTAAGCAGTCAAATAACCGTAAATAAAATGGTAATTAAACTGTTAAGATTGAAAAAACTGTTTATTAACTGCTTTCATATAATACGGTTAAACAACCATAATTTTATCGCACCAACTAGAACCACCTAATGAAGCTACTTAGTTCTTTGCAACTGTGTACATATCATAGCCGAGTAGGCTTCTCTGTCAATCTCATGAACGGCAGAACTGAACTTCGAGTCCTAGTGTTGACACCACAATATTTCCTCCATTCCCATCAACACATGAAGAATTTCCAATGTCTGGCACTCTCCAATCCCCGTTTCTCTACGAAAAGCTGAGTTCTTATGTCGAGTTAAGTAATTAAATTTTTGTTTTCTGGTTTTTGAAAAATGCTAGTTGTGAATGGTTAAAAAACCGTATAGTTCTGCATTCATAGTCTTATAACCTTATTTTTTGTAAATGGTTTCAAAACTATAAAGGAAAAAAAATGTTCTTTACCGTAAACTTCACGGTTAATCGGATAGACAGACAGCTGCCAGTTATTTTATAATAATTTTTGAATGAAATTTTAACAGTGTAATATGTATATGCTATTTTTCGAAAAATAGATAATACATCACCTATCATTTGTCGCATGACAGAATACGGCACCATAGCACCGTTTATGCTTAACATTTCTACAGCTATTTGAGGAAGAATCAAAACGAAATCAAATTAATTACTTCGTAGCTATGTTTTTATTTCTTTAAAAATACTAAATTATTATGAATAAATACTTAACGTATAACTTACTATTGAATACTATTTAAATTATTAATCAAGACAAACTAACAAAATAAATATAAATTAATACTTAGCATAAAACTAATTTCTTATTACAACTTAAATTACAACTTAAGACACAACCTAACAAAATAAATAATAACTATAGTGTTTCCAATAGATAGCGAAATGCCCAAGTTTGTGGTGCTACTTAAAAGAAATATATTATTATTGATTATTATCAACAAGTTCATGTAATAATTTGCTTTCAGTTTTTTAAATATGAGATTCTAAAATGTTATTAAGGAATAAGTCTATGTCCGCTAAATGTTTTTAAAAAGCATAATCCCCACCGAAGAACATGTTGAGCATAATTCTTCAATCTGCTTTTTCTTACCCTAACTAGCAAGTACTTAGATTTTAAACTGACCGATAAATTGACCATTTACCAGAAAAAAGTTCTACTTGTGCCTTAAATTAAAATAGATTTTCACTTATGCTAAAAGGAAAAAAGTTCTACTTTCACACATAAACAAACTTTAATGAAATATAAAACTTAAATGGCTACTTGTAGAACTATGCTTTTAATTCTCCATTTTAAAATTCTGATTTCAAACTAAAAGAAATATAATGCGTTGTCTAATTATAACTGTTTTAACAAATTCAAAAGCAAAAATTGTCATAGACTATTAGAAATCCAGATAAAATAGCAGAAAAAAGTACCGGCACTCAGGATGTTGGTACTTAATGCCGTAAAACTTAGGGAACAAAAGATCTGTAATTTTTATCTACAGTAATATCTGTAAAATCACTAAAATTAAAGTATAAAATCTTACGGTAAAATTGGATTCTGCGTTAAATAGGACTTTACTGATTTTTCAAGGGTGTCAGTACTTTTTACCTCAAGTTTATCCGGATTTTTTTACAATGTACAGGTTTGGAAAAAATATGAAGTGTAACTAGATCGCATTCTAATGTGAATTATTATGCATATTAATGTACATATATTATGTGCATATTAATGCATTACGTCAGCTAGGTCAAAGTTTATTTTTTGATGCGATACGTACACCGATAAAAAAGTATGGTCAAAACTACTAAAAATGGTAAAATTTAGTGTTCTTCTAGATCTATGGGAACACCAAAAAACTCGGTAACCTTTACTAAAAATCGATGGTAATGATTTTAGTAAAATTAACAAAAATATGGTTTTATAATGTGAGATAAAATTAGGTAAATGTGGTAAAATTTCGTGATATAAATCATGATACTTTAGAACATAACATAAAAATCATTTATACGATTAAGTTAACTCTTCAGTTTTGTATTTTTTGCTTAATGTGTGGTAATAAGAACTAAAGTTTGAAAACCGAAATTCTCAGTTAGCAGTTACCGCATGAATGGATAAATTATCAAATGAATGGTTCCGTTCCAAACATTCGTGTTATATAATTTCCATATATTTTGGCTTTATAAATCAGAATTTAAATTTTTTTTGTTTCCAAAAATGCCATTACCATACAGTAAGGTAATTTTACTAAAATTCCTTTCTCGGAGTAAAACTACGTAAATTAAACAAACTTCAAGTACATTTTAATAATTACTGGGTTCATTATTTAACTTAGGATTACAAATCTCAGAACGCAAAGATTCTAGGAATCAGAACTCAGCGATATTAAGTCGGATAATTGAAAACCAACTCTGAAATGCGATCTATATTGATGTTTTGCGGCAAATTCTTAAGAAGTCGTATATTTGTAACTCAATTTCTCATCGATTCTACCGATTTCGCTCAAATTTTGTATTTTGCTATGTAAAAGTACATGCTTTAAAATGGTGTACAAATTGTATACCTTTCAATTCAAAATTTGCTTGACTATTATTATATAAAGTAGTAAATATTTACTAAAATTACTTTTTGCATATAATTATCTTTGAATAAAAAAATTTTATTATTTGTGTGCAAAATTATTTTCAAGTCGCTTAAAAATTTCTCGAGATATGGCGAAATACGCAAGAAATAAAACTAACATTATGGGGTCCAAAACTTTGAACCGCTTTCCTGATCAAACTATGGGGATCCTACTTCCCAAATTGCGGCTACTACCTATTTTTGGGGATCAGACATTCAAAACTGTTTCCGATTAATATATTTTCTGATTCTATCGATATAATTTTTCTTCGAATCTGATGAAAAAAAGGTATATTTATTCAGAGAAAGTATGTTGTTTTTTTGTCTGATTAGTAACTTAAAATATCGTCTGCACTAATTAATTAACATATTTGAGGTCATCTCCTCGAACCATTACGAATGAGTCCCAGAACGTGTGAAGATCCGATCATTAGATCAAAAGTTATTCTGAATGGTCCTTTTTCTTGCGCACTGTACGTGGATAAACGAAGAAATTTTGATCTACTTGTGCGTTATTGATTTATGCATATCATACTATATATCATATTGATTTATGTTTACATAATTGATTTATGTGTATCATATTATATAGCATATTGATTTACGTATGCATAAATGATTTATGCGTGTCATATTAAATATCATATCAATTAATGCTTATCATATTATGTATCATATTAATTTTTGCATACATAAATCATATGCAAAATTCATAGAATTAGTGAAAAATTCGTTTCCGCATAGTGATTCTTAAATAAATCTTCAATAGTAATTTTAAAATTTTTACTAATTTTTTATATCCTGACCGGAACTCCTGTGAGTGTAAAGCATTAAGTTTTCTACTGCGA